TTACTAAGGAGTGCTTTTTTCATATGTTTACCTATATATATGTACGATATTTTATTGTAATATAATATTGAATGTGTTAGACATAGGGATGGGCATGGGACTCGAACCCGATAGATTCAAACCTGACCCGATTAGATCGGGTCAGGTTTTAAAAAAATTAATATTCGGGTCGGGTTCGGGTATAGGGTAAAAAATATCCGACCCGAAAAATATATAATTTTACCTTAATTATTTAGGAATAATTACAATAATATCACTCTATATATTATTTTTTAAATTAAGTCATTGTTTTTATTGACTAAAAATATATTTTTTATTATTTCGGGTCGAATTTTTAAGTTATATATCAGGTCGGGTTCGGGTCAGGTGAAAATTTGTTTTGATCAGGTCGAGTCGGGTCTCGGGTGAAGGACTCTTTGTCCTTGGATCGGGTCAGGTGGACCAAAAACCCGACCCAACCCGACTTATGCCCATCCCTAGTTAGACATATATTGTAATATAATTATTGCATTGTTGCTACTATTGACTTGTACGGGTCAAAGTGTTGGGCTCAACCTAACCTTCCTGTCTCTCGCTTCCTTCATATTTCCCCAAGTTTCTGCTTCATTTTCGTGTTATTGTCCTCCCCAATGGCTACAATTCTCGGGTCGACTAAGCATCAGCCATTGTGGCTGCTTCTGCTTGTTTTCTTGTTGATACTGTCAAACGCAGAACCTCAGGTGCCCTGCTACTTCATATTTGGAGACTCGTTATCCGACGTCGGCATTCGCCTTACGGGATCGATTTTCCTAAAGGACCAACCGGAAGGTTTACTAATGGCCGAACCATGCAGGATATCATTGGTTTGCACTTTTTTTCCTATTTCCCTGTATAAAAAAATATGTACCACTATTTTTTTTGGTGGTAGCTATCTCTTTGTATTGATATGGAAAATGACAGTTCAACTACTGGATTTCGAAGAATTTATTCCTCCTTTTGCCACTTCAAGAGGCCAAGATATTCTCAAGGGCGTGAATTATGCATCTGGATCTGCTGGGATTCTCAATGAATCTGGACAACAAGTGGTAATAATTATCTGCTTGTATGTGCAGCATTTACACAATCATTGAAAATGGACGTGTTTTTTGAATTGCAGGGTGATCGAATAAGCATGAACAAGCAGTTAAGCAACCACCAAACCATAATCTCAACAATGGCAGAGATGTTGCGGGAATGTTCAGCTTCAAAGCTTCTAAGAAAATGCATATATGCGGTTCAAATCGGCAGCAATGACTACATTAACAACTATTTCATGCCACAATACTACAACACCAGTCGCCTGTTCACCCCACACCAATACGCTGCATATCTTATTCAACAATATTCACGCCAAATAAAGGTTGTAAAACATAACGTGCTTGGATTGTTATACTCAAACTTGTTGTTTTATGTTTTTATTTCATTTTCTTCTCTCCAGATTCTGTACAATAATGGGGCAAGGATGCTTGCACTATTCGGAATCGGTTCCATAGGGTGTACTCCAAGTGCAAGCACATCGTATGGAACAAATGGCTGTCTGCGTGGAGAAATTAAACAGAGCTGCTCATCTCTTTAACAGAAGGCTTCTATCACTTGTTAATGAACTGAATAGCAATTTAACCGACGCTAAATTTACACATTTAAATCCTTCTGGAACAAGCTTTGCAAACTCCCTGGGTAAATATCAGCAAAAGAGAACAGATTCATTCATTTATAGAAAGAAAAATTGTAAGTGTTGCTTCTCTGTTTCCAGGGTTTACAGTGGCAAATGTTAGCTTCTGCAAAATAGGGAGTTATGGCAGCCTTTGCGTTCCTGGTTCAAAGCCTTGTGAGGACCGAAGTCGGTATGTGTTTTGGGATGCAGTCCACCCTTCGGATGCATGGAATGAGGCAACTGCAACTCAGGCTTATGGCTCAACTGCTGAGGAACAACCACGATGCCGATGGAGACATTTGTGAATGGCAAAGAAACTCTGGTGTCACTGTAATCTATTAGTTTGAATCATTTTAATACGATTAGTCCCTCGCTTTAAAAATAAACCCAATGGTATATGCAAGAAACCAGCACACTTAATTAACTTTGAATCCAAGAAAACCAACAATAGTAAACGCAAAACATATCTCGGTGCGCTACAAATAAAGTTCAGGAAACAAAACTCAAAATCATGTCTATAACAATGGAGGTTACAAACAAAAGGGCTTTTAAAGAGTTTCTAGTGGTGATAGGATTGCCTATGTTTTACTCCTCGTCTTCCTCATCACCATCTCCACCAGCAGCCTTCCTGCAGCTGCTCTCTGGTTCTTTCTCTTCACTCTTCCGGGACGGCTACCTCCAAATGGACTTGTGAGAGAGAAATCAATATGTTTTTGAGTCAACGCTCACCATGAAGGATGGGATGTTCACAACTTGCCTCCAACCCTATCAAGTGCATAGCAAACATCAGCGTATACCATCCAGAGCATTTATAACATCTTAATTGGCCTTCAACTCAAAGTGAAATCAAACTTGAGCCATGCTTCAATCTCAAATTTCAAGTCAACTCTCACTTCTTAAAGCTAGTACTCGGGTCGATTAGACACCTAGGCTTAACAAATACAAAACTGTTCAACAAGAAATTGTAAAGAGGAATAGCAAAGAAGGCAATAAATTCCAATAACTTGCAAATCAGAAGCCACGTTAGCATATCAGCAATCAGATAGGAAATTTGGCTGAAAACCAGTTGCAGTCAAACACACTAATTCTTCATGAGTAGATTGTTTACCAAGTTTATGTCATGAAAACATATAGCTTCTTGAAAGCAGGCCAGCATTTGAGACATTGAAGAAAACTCATACGATCAGACAAACTAACAACACCCTTTGAAACTATCAGTTATCACTTCTGAGCACATTACAAAAGACAGCAGACAGACAGACAAATAAACACAAAGGAATTAAACAAAATTAATACACATTTGGACTACCAACTTTGACATTTGAATTCATTTAAAAGTATATGTAACATTTTCACTTGAGCAGCATGATATGAAAACATACACTGTATAATGAGAGGAAAACACTACCCGATATGCCTTTGTCTGTCCACACATGAGCATGGTGAATCGACTTGGCCGTACCAGACTTGAACACAAGTGTTTGCAAGCGACGCTCAAGGAAGTTCTCAACGGCCAAAGCCAAGACATAATCGAGCTTGTTCTGGCTCTCATCCAAAAGCCCCTACCTGTTCATCCTACGAAGAAGTGCTTCACATTCAAAAATAATATGAGGGTTCTTCTCATCAAGAGTGAGAAGGTCCCTAGCAGCATTACGGATACGGCTCAAAGCATATTGAACCCTCCAGAACTCCCTCTTACATCGAAGCCCATACTCTCCTACAAGCCTCAACTCAGCATCCCAATCGTTCCTTCTCATAAAGACGTCGTGGCTTCTTAAAGGTCTTCCCATCTACAACCACACATTAATTGAATAATATAAAACAAAATATTTATTTGCAAATATTTCACTATTAGGATCCAAAATTATCATAAAACTAATCAACCAATAATACCCTGCTGCTTCCAAGATTCAAACCCGGGACCTAAAAGTTGGAATCTTTATTTGCAAAAATGTGTTCGAAATAACTAAGCCAGCATTTAGCATACATATCAAAAAGTAAAAAAAAAAAACTAAATCTACAGAAAAAGCCCGAGCTTTAAGATTATTTCTAACGTTCGGAGCTACACTAAACTAAATAAATCCAGTTCCATTATTAACCGAAATACGATTAAAAGGAATCATAAAAGCTAAATACAGAAACTCACTTACAAGGACTAAAAAATAAGTAAATTGGAAGGACAAAAACTTTAATCGAACAATACTAACTCAGTTGAAACAACAGATCAAGCTTAAAACAGCGAGGAAAAGGTGCAAGAGATTTAACTTACAATTGCGGTAAAAACTGACGTGAACCGTGGTTGCGCCGGCTCCTCGTCAAATACAGCTGGGAGAAAAGGGAGAAACCGAGGTAAGGAAGAGAAAGGAAGCAAAGCGATATTATTATAAATTAGGGAAACCCTAAACCCTAATTTTGGGCGTTTTAGGGATTATAATGGGCTGCTCAATTTGTACAAAAGTGAGCCTTTTGGTCTTTTAATTTTGGGCATCATCAAATTTCATCTTTTATTATCAACTGTTTAAAGTAAAATACAAAACTTAATTATATGTTTGGCCCTTGAACTTTTACTTTCATACTATAATAATTCTCGAATTTATTTTATCTTGTATTATTTTCTGATTGTATTTCATTTCATCAAATACATTAACCTTTTCATAACATGGTTAAGTGGGCGATGATATGACACTCTAAAATTTTACCATGATACGACTCAAAATTTAAAAATTTATACAACTTACAAAAATAAAATTGATACCATTCTGATTTGACTCGCATCTTACCTCTAATTTTTAAAAATTGAGAAACATAGGTAGTTCAGAAGGTCAATGTGTGCATTGCTTAATTATGGATATGGTGTAAACACAATCATTGTGCCCATAAGTTATTTGAAACAGTTGAAATAATTTATATATGTATTTTGGTTGTTTCCTTTCTTGCTTCCACTCTTGAAACACCGTCTTGGGATCTAAATCATGAATTTCAAAATCACATTGATTTATTCCATTAATCTTGTAATTAAATAAATTAATAGGCTGCTGTGAAATTCCTTTTTTTCTGATTTCATATGGAAATATGATGGAAGACTTTTAAATATAAGTCCTCCAAGTATATGTGCTTGTGTTTTAAATGAAATACTGCTACTCTAAAACAGATTTACATTGAAATAAAATAATCCTCCAAGATTCTATTAATGGCGACAAAGTAGGAGAAAGAGATTCAAGAATTGCAAATCGATTAGTACGTTGTTATCTTAACTCCCTATATTTTGGGTATCATTGACCCCTATTTTTTTTACAACATTGAACTTCTTATATGTATATAATATAACTGCTCATCTGTTTTCTTCTTGATTCATCAGATCATGGTGTAATCAAGATCGATCATGGCTGTGACCATCAAGAAAGCGGCCCTCGTCGTTGCTGGCCTCGGTGTCTTATCTTTCATCTTCGGAGTCATTGCCGAGAACAAGAAGCAGGAGACCGGAACCCCAATTCCCGGAAAAGACGTGGTTGTATACAAGTATCCGTCGGATCCCTCCGTACGTGGCTCTCGGTTACATGTCGGTTTCGTTTCTCGTACTTCTCTTGCCGGCTATTTGTCACTGTTTTACCTTTATGAAGGAAAAACTGTTCTCTTCCAGAGAACTGCTTTCTTCGTCTTTTTAAGCATTGCCTTGTAAGCACTTCTATCCCTTTGCGTTTTAGTCCATGGTTTGTTATTCAATTATTTGCTTTAATAATGTGAAAATGGTTATTAGGAATTATTCCAAGTTTTGATGTCTTGAGTTTGAGTCTTGTGTGAATTTGCTTTAGATTTATTTTTGTTTTGAATTCTATATAGATGTGTTTACGAATGGAATTAAGATCAAACATGGGACAAAAGAATAGTTTAGGATGATTACAATATATTATGTTCATATATTTTCTTAGTCTATTGAAAACACATATAAAGATATAGTTGTTTGAATGTGAAACCTCTAGGAAGAACAATACTCCCTGTTTACCACTAAGAGGTCACTCAATATATTCCTATTAAGTAGATAAATAAAGCCATCAGGAGGAACAAATGCTTTATTTGATTAATATTTAAACTAAAATAACTTAAAATATTATTTTACTAAAAATTTTGGAGACCTACAATCCCTTGCACCCAACAAATGACTCTGCTCCTCAATATATTATGATTATTTCATTTATATCCCATATGAAAGTCACTTACGTATAATTATGGACACCGGACGAAATTATATACGAAATGGGGAGTTCCTGTCCAGGGCCGGTTCAATGAATTTTAATGCCCTGGGCGAAATAATAATTTTGTGCCCATAAATTTACAATAGGATTATTAGAAGTATTAGGTGAATCATTGGAATTTTCAATCGGATTATTAGAAGGTTTAACCGGTCTAACAATAAATCTATCTAAAGACCTATGTAAAGAATTAGCCATTTCTTGTTCTTGTTTTTTTCGTTTTCTATTTTGGGCACCCGATGGTTGTTTTCGAGGTAACATATTTAAAAGTAATCAATAAAACAAATATAGAAGCATGTAAACAATAAAACAAATATATTAGTAGGGAAAGATACAACCTGGCCGGTAACCAAAGTTAATGTTATTGACTTGTTCTTTCTCACAATCAATTGATCTGGAAAATTAATGATGAAATCAAAATAATTAATAGCAATCACTCTAAAAAAATGTCTTGAACAAAAATATTTAGCCACTGTTTTTTTTTCTTCATCAAACTAAGTTTGCTACTACACAATCAAAATTCAAACAATGTTATTACTTAAGGGTCTGAATTAAAACGAAATGATATTATTGAAAGATCCAGTTATGAACTCTTAACATAGACCCTAAAATTATAGATAAAATTCAGAATCGGTAAAGATAATGACCTCCCTATAATAGAAAATTTATATATGCAAAAGTACAAGGACCGAAAACAGAATTAAACCTTAGAGAAACAAAATATACAAAAGAAATGAACATAAAGGGGGAATTGACCATTGATAAAAGATAATAATAATTAAAGTTGTGAAAAGGATAAAATAAGAGGAGAAATGTGTGGTTTGTTAGGGGCAAGAACATCGTAAACCAAGGAAAATAGCATGGAAATTGCAATGTTCAAAACCTAAAATCAAAATGACCAATGAATCATGGAGATGAGTAGGTGTCTAATTCCATGCTACCATTGTCGTATTACCAGACAAAACGTGTCCTCTATTGCCATGTAAAGGTGAGTCACAGATTAATTTACACCCTAAACTCCACTCACGCAAAGAACCCTTAGCCGCTCGACCCTCTCTCTTCTCTCCACTCACTTTGTCTTTCCAGATCGAAAGCCCTGAGGCCAGCCTCTCGAAAGAAATCCAAAGCTTCGGTCTTGGACTCCGATGACTCAAATAACCTCAGTAAACATCTAACCTTATTTTACTTTTTTATTTTGATTCAAGAACAATAAAAAACAGAAAATGGTTGCATGGTATTGTTTAAGGAAAATTCATACCTCTGTAAATAATTAACCCTACCCTCTCTGTTACAAGTGTTTCAAATAGGATGACGATTTTTAATCGAATGGTTGCCTTTGCTCACTCCATTTTCGTGTATTTCGCTTGCTAATGGTCCTTTTCTTGAATGGTTTTTTCAAATCCTATTTCTTCCCCTTTTTTGTGCTCGAAATAGTTCCCTTTTTCTATTTTTTCCACCGAATCTTGCTTGTCCTCTTGTTGATTTTTCTTCGTTATTTGGCGAAGTAAAATCTCGAAAATTTAAGGGTTTAGGTTGATTTTTCTTCTTTGACTTTGGGGATGATTTAGTAGATATTGAATTTTGATGATTTGGGTTACTGCTTGTAGATTTGGTGATTACGGCAAGGATGGCTTGAGTTGGTGTGTGGTGCTGGCAGCTTGCTTCACTGGATTTTAGGCTAATTTTTTGGGTCAAATATATATATATTGTATATATGTGCTTATAAACTGATGCCCCTCAAATATATGTTGCCCTGGGCCAAGGCCCATCTGGCACATGTATTGGGTCGGGCCTGTTCCTGTCCCTCTCAAAATTATTGGTTTAATAGTATTTTAGATTCTTATCAGTTTAAATTTAAATAAAATTGGATTTCCCCCAATTTTTAGATTAAATACCTTGTTATTTTGAAATTAAGTACCTTGTCCCTCCCAATAATTGATCCTGACACTGTCCCTGTAGACACCCTTATTAAGATACACATATTTGATATGGTTATGGGTCAGGTTTACAGGAGGAGGCCTAGCGGCGAGTCTGCTGTTGTGGCGGACGATCACAGAGCATGTTCACTTGAGTCTCAATGTTCATGAAAATCTGAGCACACAATGCCCCACTGCTAAGATTGGACTCCTAGGTTGTGGTGCGTTTGTGTCCCTTGATACAGCCCTCTTCTGGTTAGTTGCCCTTATGTTGGCTGATAATGCCTTTCAATCACTTTGATGAAGTTGAAAACAACACTAAAGTTCACTCTCTTGTAGCTACTGAATAAATACCATAATGCATGTCTCCCCAACTATCTCTTATCTTTATGTATGTTGTTTATACTTTGTTTCCATTTCATAGTGTTAGGGGTTGTTTGTTTGGCTCTGAATGAAACTATTCAGCGCTGAATGTTGAACCGTTTAGCATTCAGACTGTTTGTTTCTCACATCTGAATGATTCAGTGCTGACTGATTCAGCAAAACAATGCTAAATGATTTAGCACAGAAGTACATTCTGAATGATTCAGAACCATTATCAAACAGCATGTCACATTCAGAGCTAATTCATACAGAGCCTCTGAATCATTCAGCACTTAATCATTCTGAAGTAAACAAACAACCCCTTAATCTTTCTACGATTGGTATTTCTTCTGCAAAATTAGATATGTATTTGGAACATTGAGCATTAATGAAATTTGAATTGCTACATTACTTCTAAAGAATTGTCTACATATTTGAAAATTGTATATGTATTTTATCAAAGCAGAGTCTGTCTTAGACATTTTCAGAGCCCTGAGCGAAAACTCAAAAATATGCATTTATAAAGTGAAAGTATATTTCATTACTTTGAACAATTAATTTAACATTACATAAATAAATCATAGAAAATGATTAAATTTTGTGAAAATATATTATTTTTATTATTTTATTAAGAAAATACCTTATTTTTTATTAATAAGAAAATACCTTAAATACAATTCAAAAAGAATAAATATAAAAAAATTGAATGCATGTATGATATATAGCTTGATTTTGAATAATAAATAAATAAAAAGAATTGTATATTATTTTATTGTTAGATTTAGATTGAAGAAATAAAATTTAAAGAATATTTGATAAATTGAAGAATGAGATTTGAAAAAAGAGAAAAAACGATTAGATTTAATTCAAAATTGAATGAATAAATAATAGAAATGGAAAAAGAGGGTTAATAAAATTTTATGAATTTATAAAGATTAATGGCGTAATTATAAATATAAAAAATTGGTGAAATTTAATTAAAAATTGAAGGAATTCAATTTTAATGTATGACTACAACAATGTCGATTATTTATTAAATTTGTAAATATTACATTGATGCGACACTTTTTTTTATTAAGTATAAAGTGATTATGAGGTTGTATATATTTTAATTTTTATTAAATTTATTGACAACAGACGCATAGTACAAAATTCAATTATTTTAAAAAAAACATCTAATTTTATTAATAAATAAGAAAAAATCCAAAATTACAATAATTTTTACGATAAAAATCGTAAATCAGATACATAATTGAGAAAATCTTCTATAATCATTAAGAAACTAGCCACTTAAGATCATAGCAGAACCATACAAGGAAAAGATGAAAATCTCATCCAGAAAACTCGAACAACATGTAAATACGAATAGATCTAACTGCTACGGCAAACCAACCACAATAGAAGATTTAAATTACTGAAAGACCACCGACAAAACATAAATCAGAGCCAAGCATCACGAGATAATTATCTGCGATCATAAGATACATATCCAAATCCAATTCGATGGAAGCAAAGAAGATCAACGAGATAACAAATGAGCGTCATCTTGATCAGTCGAGGCGATGTCAAATTCAACCCTGTAAAAATATTAAAAAAAACGTTAAATTTAAAATAAGATACTAAAATAAAAATAAAATATAATGTTAAATATAATTTAAAAAATTAATCAAGTGACCGGCATAAAAAAAATATAGAATGAGATACCAATAAATAATTTAGGCTGAAATATATTAATCATATGTATAAACCTGCCTAGCCATGAAGACCCCTACATGAAGCCCACGTATTGTTGGTATAAAATATTTTAAAGTAGTTTAATCAATTGTCATAAAAAGAAAATATATATTTTAAAATAATAATAATTGTAATCAATTGTCATCTTTGTAATAAATTGCGGGTGGCATAGGATTATTTGTATAGGGTTGTTGTTTGTTGTTTGTTGTTTGTTGTTTGTTGTTTGTTGTTCTGTTGTTGGGTTGAGGTTGTGATGTATGTTTTCGTGCTGCGTTCGGATAAATAAAATCACATTTATCCAAAAAAACAATAATTGTAAAAATTCAGTTTATTTACCTAATTACTTTTAATTGGGAACATCCAATTATTTCAAAATTCAAATATCAACACCTAATCTATTCTCTCATTTTTTTTAATTTTTAGAATATGCCTCCTTTGCAAATAAAATAAAGTACTTATATATATATATATATAAGGTAATATAAGATAATATATGTTCTAAGACTCTCAACCATTTAATAATGAACACTCATATTTTTGACATTTTTAATAATGGAACCCTTAATCAGTGAGATCGCTTGGTTCACGTCAAGTATTTTTTAATAGAACTACAAGTATTTTTTTTTAAATAATACTATTTGATGATTTTCATTTTATTATAATGATTATGTTTATGGAATTATTTTTCACTTAAACAATCCTTCCAGGAATATTTACATTGAAAAGAAAGAACGAATATTGCTTAGATTGAAAGATTTTGACCAATTTTGAACGCACACCAATTGTCATTTCTAGAAGGGAAAAAAACTATTAAAGCAAATTGAGACTAATTTCAAGGTAAAATATTAGAAGGTTGCTTTGTCATTTTATTTGTTCAAGGAGAAAAGACAAAAAAGCTTCCCATGAATTGAAATTGAGTGTATGAAAACAATTTGATCTTCAAAAAACAAAAAAGTTGATTTTACAGTCAAATTCAAGCCGTTGAATTGGATTTAAACGAGCTTCATATCCCATCAACTTTGACTTGAGTTTCCATTAAAACCCAGTCTTTAACCTCAAGTTTTCGCCAAACTCATCTCCCTTAGAATCCATTAAAGGGTTGGGTTCTTCAACTTTTGCATACCGATGCAGATTTTATGCTAGAGGGACAAACTTTTAAAATTTTAATTTTAAGTTGTAGATTGTAATCTTAATTTTATACCAACTTCATCAACTTTGTTGGGTCCTTATAAAATGGATGGTGAGTCGAAGATCGATAAGGTTGAAGATGAGATGTTGCCTGGTTTCTGATTTCATCCGACAGATGAAGAGCTCGTCGGATTTTACCTCAAGAACAAGATACAGCAGAAATCATTACCCATTGAGCTCATCAAGCAACTTGACATTTACAAATATGAACCCTGGGATCTCCGAAGTGAGTTTTCATCATTTCTTTACTCTCTTACTACACTCATAGTACTAAGTTACAGTTACTGTGTCGAGATTGCAAATATTATGGATGTTATGACGTGATTTAATACTTGGAGTAGACTATGTAATACTCATTCAGGATACACTTTCTGGTTCCATTTTCTCAGGGCTAGCAGCATCCGGCGAGAAAGAGTGGTATTTCTACTGTCCTAGAGACCGTAAATACCGAAACAGTGCGAGGCCTAACAGAGTAACAAGAGACGAATTTTGGAAGGCGACCGGAACTGATAGGCCTATTTACACTTCCGATGGCACCAAATGTATTGGTTTAAAGAAGTCCCTAGTGTTCTATCGAGGAAGAGCTGCCAAAGGGATTAAAACAGATTGGATGATGCATGAATTTAGACTGCCTTCACTCTCGGACAAAATCCTTTCTGCTAATGTAAATGATAATCACCGACTCCATTAATGTTTTTTTTTTAGTAACCGTCTAACATTTGGCTTGTTTTCATTACAGGATTCATGGGCTATTTGTAGGATATTCAGAAAGATCAATTCCATTGCTCAGAGAGCTCTTTCTCGTACTTTGATACCCTCCTTATCATCTGATATACTCCACAATTGTTACCCTCGCAATCAGTTCAATTCGGACAACATTTATTGCAGAAAAAATGAACTGCAACATGCACAACAATGGAGACCATCTCCGTTGCCGGTTCCCAATGGAGAACTTCACAACAACTTCACGTTTTCGGTCGATGCTTTGTCTATGCTATTGAGGCCACAGGCGATGATGATGGTTGCCGGTGAAGTTACGAACAATATCGGGAGTACGGACCGATATTGAAGGGCAACAACAGCATCTCGATTGCTTGTCAATAAGCTTGCCGCAAGAGTTGCAAGGCACGGTGAGGACCTCGAATGAAGGCCTTGACGAGAACCATCGGAGGACTATCCGATCAATGGGATTTCCTTTTAGCATGTAGCCAAATGTGTTTGATTCATGGAAGCCTAATATGCCATGGGATTCACCTCAACTTTCCGACTGGAACTTCCACTACTTACAGACAAATGCTATATATAAACAGAAATTTTCATACGCAGTAATTGTCAAATATATTTAAGGCTTAAATATACATTTGGTATATGAAATTTCTCTCAAATGTACTAACAGAACTTTTGATATTTTTGCTCTTAAGTTGATCTTTCTCTTAAATTGGTATTTACATAATTTTTACGCTCGAATTGATTTTCTCTTAAATTAGTACTTAAATAGTTTTTGCTGCAAAGAAGAACTTAAACTTTATTTGCATCCACTATTTTGATACCTTTTTAAAGATATAAAGATGTGGCAACATAAGATTTTATTAATGATATTAAGACGTGACAGCATAAGATTATACGGCGTGTTAATCATGTGTTTTTTAAAAATATTAAAATTTTACAGAATTAGATATTATATATTAGAGTAATCGTAGAATAAGATCAACTCTCTCTTTCTCCATGGGATTCGAATAAAATGAGAATTTTACTATCATAATGAAATTCATATAGCATCTCTTAATCAAATTCGCAGATTTTGTGAAGATATTATTGAAACCCCATCTTCATAGGCTAAATCACTGTATAACATGTGAAAAAAAGAAAACAATGGAAGTACTCTATTTAGGGATTTGCAGTGTTTTTTTCCCCATAGTGACAGGAAAACAGTTAGTAACCAGTGACAAGTACGATAAAGACGAAAATTGGAAACAATTTTGATTGATATTACTCTTGTTTCTAATAATCTTAAATGATCGGTTGTATATGTTCAGAATTTTTTTTAACCAATGACAATGTATACACACTCTACATACACAAATGCTCGAACCTGTACACACTCTAAATACACAAATGCTCGAACCCGAAACCTTTAGGGATAATTTTGATTGATATTATGCTTTAAATGGCCTATGAAAATTATAAAAAAGAAACAAATAAACAAGATCATCCTTAAGGCAATAACCGGCCAAATTGATTTGTCATCAAATTAAACAAGTAGCAAAATAATCAAAGTATTTATTTCAAAATAAAAAAAAAATGCAGAAATTCAGTTCAATATTTCATCATCACCGCACTAATAACCAAATTACCTTCACCAAAGATTCGACGGCTAAATTCTTAGCTCTTCAAAGCTTGTTTTTCCTTGGACTTTTGGATCTTCAGAACTTTCTTCACAATCTTCTGCTCTTCGACTAAGAAGGCTCGAATTATCCTTTGAAAGATGGAAAGAAAACAATCAGATTTTGCATCAATGAAAACCAACAAGCTAGCATTCATTATCATGTAACAGCAAATAAGCAATGCAAGAGTTTATATTTTATACCTCTCTCTGACAGCACTTCCCGATAAAACACCACCATAAGCACGATTCACAGTACGGCGGTTCCTTGGCAATCTAGACCTCTTCTATTCAGCAGGTCTCAAGTGAGGAATCTGCAGTGAACCCATGTGAGAGAAACATAAGAACCACCTCAAAAAACTTCACAACTTCGAGTCTAATCAACCAAACGTTCAGTAAGACCCTAGTTGAGAAAGTAAACATAAAATGATTAAATCTAAAAGAGTATTCCATATCTCTTTTTTGGTCAAAAAGGTTTTACATTTGAACTTAATATGCAGAAAACATGGGCATCAAAAGTGTCATATTTCATAAACAGCTTCCAAGTGAAATGCTACAATGGGATCCATAATACAATGTTACAACATATATTTACAGCAGTAGGCTGTTATAGCTTTGATTACACCGGCGATGGCGATAAACACTGCTCAGACAGAGAACACATCAAACTTAAATCCATGATGATCACAAGTTACTACCAATTCCTAAATGATTTCATGAAAACAACCACATCTTAAGGTTTAAAACTCCTGAACAACAAATTTGAGATACTATACTATCAGAATCACACCTCCGTTTTAGATTTTAAACAAGGATCTAAAACTAACAATAAAAGTAAGAAAGTTTGCATGTTAATTTGGAACATAAAATCATGAAGCATCCAACAAAATGAATATAAAAGATAGAAAGTCTAAACCAATAGTCACTTCTTCCATCATTATAAGCAAAGAGGTATCTAGATTACATACTAATTGGATCAAGCGAACAATAAGATCAAAATCCACCGTACATAAAAACTGAATTCAATTCAGAAAAGAAAAGTACTTACACCCTGAATTCTTTTGCCAGCAACAGGACACTTAGGCCCACTTGCTCTCTTCTTAGTAGTCTGATAAACCAATTTCCCACCTTCAAAATTAAAAAGAAAAATCACAAATTTCAATTGAAAATTAGATGAACACAAACCGGCATCATTCTATAAACCTCCAGACTTACCAGGGGTCTTAACCACACGGTGTTGGTTGGATTTGGTAACGTAGCTATGGCGAGTCCGATAAGTGAGTCTTTGAACCATTTTTGTAGGTTTTCAGGCTTTGGGTTTTACCTTCTCCGCTCTATTTAACGGAAAAACCAAAGAGAGACAAAGCGTAGAGTAAAATGGTTTGAGTTGGAGAAGACAATGTATAAACATGGATGCTTTTGGAAGGAAGCCCTAGATCGTACGGTTATATTTTAGGATTTTCTATCGACGGTTGAGATTATGCATGTTTGTTTTTATCCGACTTATATATATATTGAAATAATCAGATATTCATTTATCGAAGCCGTATCAACAAACGTCTTGTTAAATACCGACTGAACAAATATAGTCGTGGCTATTGAAAATAACATATAACAATGATCGCTTAGAGATAGCCTACAAACAAAACCATTAATTAGTGAAGCAACGACGTACAAAAATTGAACACACAAATAGCTCCGAGCATTAAACATAGAGGAGAGAAACTTGAAGAACCACAAAAATTACCAACGAAAAAAATGATCTCCCCCTAACAACAATCTCATTCGGCACCTTTATGCGATAATCAACGAACCGTCTTGAACAAACGAACAGAGGAACCATGCATCGGGAAACCAACAATCATGTATTCAGGTAAAATAAAAAATCGACAAGAAAACCAAATAAAAAATTGCACCGAGAGTCCAAAAACATCGATGGCCGGAGAAGACCACCGTTGTCGAACGAAAAAATTTGAAAATTATCTAAGAGTGTTAGTAACTGCCGCAGAAAGTTTGTGAGTGAGTGATTATCCAACTTATATAGATAATAATCAATGTACTTTTTTTTAAAATTAATATGCTTCTTGAATTTTTCATACTTAGTATGGCTCTTAAATTAAGTAAAATATATTAGTTTGATATCTCGATTAATATAATTAAATATGATTATAACGATATTTGATGTAGCAATTTACAGTGATTATGTAGTTTCTATGACATTGATGTGATGATTTATAGTAGACAATGACTTAGAAGAAAGGTTAAACCAATTTTGAGTTGAATTCAATGGTCAAATTAATCTTTTTAGAAAGTTCAGAGATTTATTTAATTTTTTAAAATATAAAAATTATTTTAAATTTGAAATATAGAAATATTAAAAATAAAAAATTAAATTACTAAAACAACAATTAAAAATTAAACAAATAAAAAATCATAAAATATAAAATTCTAAATTCTAAATTCTAAATTATTAGACAATTAAAAATAAAAAATACAAAAATTATACATAATATATACATGTAACATAGAGATACAAATATAAATTAATCATACTCGTATAATAAAATTAACAAAGTCAATATGCTTTCAATTTCATATGTTCTTACACTAAAATTTTTCTTTCAATACACTAAAATTTTTCTTACTATCAAATTTAATCTCTGTGTGGCAATTTTAGTTAATTTTTATCGCATATTATTATTTTTAATTGTAATTTAAATGGTGGGATATTGCAAGAGCCTGGAGAGGGATCGATATTCATGCAAAATATATAGTATATTATTAGCAGGGGAAGAGCAAAAAAGAAGGTTCAACATTAATCTTCCTCTTAACAAAATTAATATTGCTTAATTTGCTATGGCACCACAAAAGTTGGTCTTTGGTCACTTTAGACATGTTCAAAACTCTTTCCACTAATTTCAAATCCACTTGAGAGAAGAAGTAAAGGACTTGATCTGAATTCTCCCCTTCATTCTTCTTCCATCTCCTTAACATGCACTTTCCACTTCTTAAAGCCTCTCTAAGCTTCTTATCCTTGTGCAATTTCATCATCAACCATGTTCATGAGTAAACGAGACAATCGCTTTCACAAGTTATTCGAGTTCGCCTCAATGAGCATATGAACAACCATATGAAGCCATTTTTATATGGTTTGAACCAAGGTATTGGAAGACTAACCTTTTGTAAACTTGTTTGAAGTGTTGCTAAATGTTGAACTTCATCTGGCTCTAAAGGTTCCACTTGAGCTCCGTTCCTGATCTTACAGATCGCATGATTTGCATCTTTATCAGCTCGAATGAATTGCCAAAATATTCGTATTGACTCCTCCATCATCTCCAGTAGCATATCAGCTGTAATTACACCATCATCATCATCATCATCTCTTCCTTTTCTTCTTCCTTTCCTTGTATCCTTCAAGCTGTCCTCTACACCAATATAAGACCTTGCATTAGCTAATGTTTTCCCAAAACTTGAAAGCTGCTTGATTAAAAATTCATGAGCATGGATTCAAAAATCAGATCCACAAAATTGAAAATAAATTGGGAGATATTCATCAAGCCAACAACTAGGTACATTTTCACTATCTCAAAATATACACAGTTCTTCGGTTTAACCCGAATTTAGTTGATTTTGTATACCACCATTTTACCAACTCAAACTCGAAAAAAGATGCAATCATTTGTAGCATGTAAGAACAATAGAATGCTGACCTCGGATTACGGGAACTTGAAGGAGATTTCTTTGAACACATCGGTTCTTGATGTAGTTTTGTACCCTAGGACCTTCAAAGGGTTCATTCTCTATGAACCTTTGAATCAAAACTTGAAACTGTTGGAATTCACTGGCGACTTCATTGTACTTGTATCGACCCAGGCAATAAGGATCAGATTCCCAAATTTCAATAGCTTTCTCATATTGCCAATGAAGTATTTCCCAAGAAAGGCACATTTGTCCTACATATACCATTTCCAGATCACCGTGAAGCTCGTTGATGAACTTCGACATGGGGTCGGAATCCAAAGATTTTCGCCTTCCTAGCCGGAGGTTTTGTGGGAGAAGGGATGAAATTGCTGGAGCTGAAGATGATTTGTGGCTTGAAATTGATTGAAATGGATCCTTTGAATGAAGAAACCCTATGAAATAATTGTCAACAAACATGAGTTAGGCTAACTTCACATGAAACTTAAAACTATAATTTAACCCAAAAAAATCCTAAAACGTATGTAATTGACCACCTATCATTAATCATAATCCGAAAAAGCAATTTGTTAATTGGATATATACAAAGTTCAATGAAGAATAGCTTTCCAAGTTATCCTTTTTGTTCTACCATTGTTAAAGTGCTTTGAAAAAGATTTTGTGGAGCATAGAGTTAGGTAAAGCTTTCACATAGTTGGTGTCTTGAATGAGATGTTGGAAGGCTAAATCCAAAGACATGCATGAATATCTTATTAGTTTATTTTCTTTTTCCATAAATTATTTGGACGAGATAATGATATGAGATACAAACTTTTAAATATATGTTTGGCATAATACTAAAAGTAGCCCCCAACATTTACTAAAATTGTCATTTTGGCCACTTTTTTTTTGAAGCTCTTTGGTTTCAGCGTTTACTTTTGGGGCAAAAAGGACTCCATGGATGGAAATTATTAGTTAACAAATTATTAAAGCTCCAAAATAAAGAGATTTTTACCCTAAAATAAAATGTTGAGGTGTCAAAATATTCTATAATAAAGTAATAAGGATCAAAGTGACCATCTAGCCAAAAATCAATAATGTTTTTGTTCTAAAATGAGGTATTGGGAGACAAAATGCTCCAAAAAATAAGGATCAAAATGATTATTCTAATAAATGTTGGGGGCTAAGTTTTGTATTATTCCTATATTTTTTTCACAAAGCTAAATATATTTATATCAAATATATACATATATTACACTTACCTTTATTCCAAGTTAAATATAAACCATGCACTTATGAACACTTAAACACGTTTTTGGAGGGAAAAAAACTTTTTGTCCTTTCACACCCGAAAAGTGACAGAACTCAAAAATACTATGAACTAGAATGTAAAGCATTAAACCAATTGCACATAATAATTAATATTACACGGAATAAAATTATATAATACAAATAAGACACGAACTATTAAGAAATCAACATATTAACATGTAAATTGAACTATATAATTAACACACCTTAAGCACTTGATGAACATATATATGTATATAATCAACATATATATGTATATAATCAACAGATATTACACCAATTGCATATAATCAACATATATATGTATATATTTATATCAAATATATACATATATTACACTTACCTTTATTCCAAGTTAAATATAAACCATGCACTTATGAACACTTAAACACGTTTTTGGAGGGAAAAAAAACTTTTTGTCCTTTCACACCCGAAAAGTGACAAACTCAAAAAGACTATGAACTAGAATGTAAAGCATTAAACCAATTGCACATAATAATTAATATTACACGGAATAAAATTATATAATACAAATAAGACGCGAACTATTAAGAAATCAACATATTAACATGTAAATTGAACTATATAATTATCCAAAGAACAAAGTTCGTCATAATTAACAAGAAAAGATAAGTAGGGAGATGGCCTCAAATTAAGCACAAAATTTTGTAATGACAGAAAAGGAATGGAAAGATAAAACTGACCTATTGCGTACATCTTTTGGTAATTCAATATATCCAATTTCCTCATCCTTTCTCTGTAACTCTGGTAGAATTTGTGAAGCTCGGTCATTCTATCTGCATATTGGAACTTCTCATCAATCTTCCATGGCTTCAAATCATCCATTATCTTTGGACATTCTGATTCCTCTAAGATTGTTGGCAAGCCTGTTGCTTTAACCTTTTTCAGCTCCATTTTCAGCTGTTCTATCAGCTCTTGATGTTCCCATAAAGTTTCTAAACTGTTAGAATCCTCAGAATCTGAAGTTTCTAAAGCATTTGAATCCTTATTCTGGTCGTCAAACTCTTCTAATTTTCTAAGCTCTTCCTCTATATCTTGATCTTCAATGCTCCTTGAAGAATCAGCCACAAAATCCTGTTCAAAATTACTCAGTCTTTCGGGGCTTGAAGTAATGGAATCCGTATCAGTATCTGAAACAGTGCAGTCCTCCTCAGAAAGGAACTCAGGTCTCGCTGAAACATTTTCGCAAACAGTTTGTTGTGACAATAACCCATTGCTGGAATCAGCGTATAATTCTTTCACGCAGAAGCTCATATCCTCAGGCTTCTCCATTATACGACTAAGTCCATTCTCTGCGTTGAACTCATACTTGTTCGTGCTTGTACAAGGAAACGAGTCTAGGCCAACATTATAAGTCTCGTTTTCTTCAAATTTCTTCCTGAATTCTTCAAACGTGAAACTTGAAAATGAGCTTTGGGGATTCATTTTCGTCAATGAATTCACTATCTTCAACCTTGGACTCAATAGCATCAGGTTCAGTTTGCTTATTTTCCTCTTCTGTGACATCCTCTGTTTCAATTAGAATCGAATTATTGAGCTCGGAAATCTTATCACTTTGAATCCTGAAACCGTGAAGAATATAAAAACAATTATTTTAAGGAAAAGCCATCATTTCCATTTAAAAAAAAAACAAGAGAATTAAAAATCGATTTACCATGAGAAAGCTTTGCTGAAGAATTCAAACAGAGAGAAAAACAGGGCAGAGAAGGAGACCAAGAAAACCCCACCAAAAGGAACCAAATTTCGAAAGAAAAACACTTTAAAACAAGTCATATTCTTGAAATTAAAATGGGTATTGATCAGAAAATTGTATAGAGTACCCATCCATTTAAACCACCAATCTCTTTCTTTTTTCAAGCTGGAGCAAAAAAACAAAAAAGGAAAACAGAGTTTCATAAGTCCTAAAAGCTATCATCCAACAGCTAGCCGCCGCCGTTTGGCCTTCCATATCCCAGCCATGCTTGAGCCATCGATGGTGAATCCCGACCCACTGGTATAAGCTACAGTGACTCGCATCCATCATCAACAGTGGATAGAAATCACACCAAGTCAGAAAACAGAGAAAAATCAAAACGAATCTTATCCTATATTATAGGGTATCATTCTCCTATCAACTGGATTCAAATCCATCTTTCAATCAACACATGCAAGCAATCATAAAAGAGACGAGGGATCGGGGGTTTGAAAAAAAAAGCAGAGAACATATTAAAAAAGGGAGGCCATTCGGGTTTTGCAAAAAAAAAAAAACAAAAGAGGAGAGAAAGAAAAATCAAAGGGGAACCAAATACAAAGAACACTGAAAAAAATACAAAATCAAGAGAGGAGTCAAAAGGGTTCTTACCACGTCCTTTGCTCACCGAGGAGTCGAAAAGGCCACCGGATTTCGAAGCCTCCAAGAGGTAAAAGCCTAGATCTAGGTTCGTATAGGCTATTTTAGGCAAATGTGTGGTGTTTTTTGGGTTGCTAAGGAAGAGAGGAAGCTTTTTGGGCGTCTCTCTCTCTCCGGCCGTTGTCGCCACCGCGGCTCCGCCGCCGCTCCCTCTCTCCGGCGAGTGAAGTTGAGAGAGTTTGTTTAACTCTCTCATTTCCCTCTGGTTTGCAGAATGAAAGGAAATGAGAGAATGGGATCCCACAACCCGTGTTTTGGGCTTTAATTTCCCCACCAATGCGACGTCGTTTAATGAGGGTGGGGTATGCGTGTTTTTCAAAAAAGGAGTAAATCTCAGTTTAAGTCCCCTACATTTGTATTGTTCTGTAACTGGTCATTAATGAAATTTTAAAATCTTTGACTTTGAGCCTTAATCTTTTCACTGTTATAAATTAGTCATATCCATGTTTTATATCATTTTTGTCTATATTTGATTATGGTTTTAATATTTTCAAATATTTCAATTTAATCACTGATTCCATGTATATAATCTTTGTTGTTATTCGAATTTGACCACCACGTTTGTAAATGTTATATTTTAGTCAATTGTTTACATTTGGTTTAATTACTGTTAGGCCCCTGTATATTTCTGTTTCTTTTATTTTAGTATTACTGTTATTTTTGGGCTATTTTTATTTTTTGTGCTTGTATTATTTAATATTTGCAATCTGGACTTTGTTTTTTTGTAATTACTGTTTAGACCTTTTATGCCTTCTTATATAAATTTATTTACATTGAAATTACATTTTTATTATGCCTTTTTAGATTTCTTTCTTTTTCTTGTTTCCTTATTCTTGTAACTCTATTTCCTTTTAATTAATATATTATATGTGTTTATATCAATTCCTTTATTTATTCGTTTAATCGTCTTTAATTTGTTACCTTTTTTTCTTATTATTTATTTAGTTTGCTTAATTTTGGTATATGATTTCATGCTTGTTTAATTTAATTTTATATTTGACTGTTGACCTATTTCTCTCTCTCTCTCTCTCTTTTAATTTAGTTAGTTCTCCATATATTATCTTATATCTTATTTATATTTACATGTGAACATATCATGAAATTGCATTTACGTCATATTATACGTTTTTATTAATTGATATTTTAATAGACGTGTATTGCATGTAAAGTATGTATGGTAAGTATTTTAATGTATGTATATATATAAGTCAAATAAATATGTCAATTACATTTGCGCCTTATTATTTGTGTATATATATTATTATATAGATGTATCATTATATATTTATATTTATATTTCTTTTCTTTTCATATTTCTTTTTATTTATTTATTGTTTATTTTATTCTTTACTATATTACTATATGAATATTCCAAGAATTCGTATTTGTAGAACGGGAGTAGAAAGTATCATTTGATCGAAGTGGTACAATCTAATACGACGTTCGAACTAAATGGAACTTGAAATAAATCAATTTTTTTTAGTTTGATTAATTGTTAATTCATTTTTATTTTACATTGAACAATGCAAGTTATGTATTTTATTTTTCGTAACTGTCAATTTGTAATTTATATTCGATATGCATCTTTTACATATTCGACGATTGAATATTCTTTAACAATGAGAAATGGTTGAAATAGCTTCCCTAACGGAGGATTGCAAATTTCAAGATTTTTTTATCAAGTTAAAGGATTTTCTTTAAATAGTCAATTCGAAGCAAATTAATCAATATTCGATAAATGGATCACATTTTAACTTTATATTCGACTCATAAATTCCACTATTTACGGTAATGTGTAAGCGATTCAGTACCAGTTTTTGGGCGTTGTGGGAGTGCTTACCCTTCTCTACACGTAATCGACCCCCGAACCTGTTTAAATAAATCTTTGGTAAACACATACCAGTTTTTGTCTTAAAAACGATTTTTCTTAAAATTGTTTTTAAAAGACGTTTTTAGGTATTTGACCTACCTAACCCAAAGGTCGATGGCGACTCTTATCCAGTTTTATTCAAATCAATTCGAAATCACCTAATTTTCTAAATTAAAGTCATAATCTTTTTTAAAATAATATTTTAATTGTTTTACCTAAAAAATGGTTATGACAGCATGGCGACTCTGCTGAGGACTTTTTTTAGAGAGTCAGGCTGTAGGTCACTTACACATTGTCGTTGTGGTGGAAATTATGAGTTCGAGTCTTTAATTAACTTATAATTCGTTTATTGAAATTTTTAATTGCTTCATTTTTAACTGTCATACTATCGTTTGAATTTTTGTTTTCAAATCGATCCAAGTTTTTTGTCGAGTTTTTCTTTTCCATTTTTGAGTCAAAGGTAGGTACGTTCCTCCTCACAGACATCACTGCATTTGTATAACATGAGCTCTAGATACGAGCTTCGATCCAATTTAATTGGGTGAATTCTTTACTCTATTAAGAATTTATTCTTCGTATGAGTCTTAGCAAATAACCCATGGGATACACACCTTATACCTTCGTAGGGATTTATTCCTCGTATGGGTAAAAGGCAGTGAATCCCCTCGAATTGAACTCGTTCCATTCAAAACCTGTAATGGGTGAGGATCGAGGGTTTGGCAGCCCAAGGGGGCATCGACATTAAGGACAAATTGAGTCCCTTTTTCTGTTAGAGTCAAAACCATGCATACAGTGAACCGTAGAACGGTCACCCTAGGTATAGATATACCAAACCTCTGTCCGTTAGTAGGTACCCAAATTAAGTGTACACAAAGGAGGAGTGTTTCGGAACCTTTCCTTTTTGCTTTAAATTTTGTTAAATAATTGCATGCGAACTAGATACCATGCGGTTAGGATTAATTTCTTGAAAAAAAATCATTTTGGGTAGATAGCATGTTCGGGTAGATATCATAACAGGGTAGGTGTTATATTCATCTTTAAATAACATTTTATCTGTATCAATTATTTTACATGTACTAACTTGTTTTTATCTTTTGTTTGTGTACACTAACTTTTTTATTTTGTTTGTGTCTTTTTTTTCATCATTCTTTGCATTGTATTGCAACGTCATAATATAATGCGAAAATGTTGATCATCAAAGGGATATTCGAGAGAAAATTTTCACAAGAAGAGGTGAAAGTTTTCAATCAAGTAGTCACATACACAAACATGCGTCGAAGGCTAAAAGGAGTTCAGAGTGCAAGAACGAGAATTGCTCGAGGATCGTGCAACATTCGAGACTAAAATGATGATCCACTGATTCGATGAGTAATCCAACAGTGGAGTTTTATCTACAATCATGTCATCGCTAGTCATCAAAGAGCAACACAATGTCTTCAACACCGTCGAGGCATTAATGATTTAGTTTGTAGAGCATTGAGGGGCATCAGTTCCAAATACAAAGATCCGAGATGAAGTAGTGAGCTCAAAGATTGTGCAATATTTGAGACTGAAACGATGATTCATTGAGCCAAAGAGTAATCCAGCAGTAGATCTCATCTACAATCATTCCATTGCTAGTTATCAAGGAGCGACACATCGACTTTACCACCGTATGGACATTAACCGAGTTAGATTATAGAACGCTTAAGGGGCATCATTTTTGAGGACGAAGATTCGAGATGAGGCAATGATCCACTTCAGACTCAACATTTAAGTGAAGGCATGTTTCTAAAGTGGATTGTCTTGTAATGTGAAGACTTTTATCTCTGGTGAAAATTATTCTAAGATATTCATCGTTGGGATCAACATTTTTGCTTCTGCATTTGCATCTTTGCATTTTGCATCTGTATTCCATTTTAAGCATTTTTTCATACATCATTCATAAAAGCAGTGGAGGATTCAATGAAGTGGTCCTAACCACGTGACACTACATAGAAGCAAGATTCTAATAAATCAACACAGTGGAAGCATATTCAGCTGGTGGTAGGACTGAGCCTCATTCCAAGATGATCTAAGAAAGAGTCTACATATCCTGAGGGCTATGATGTTGATCCAGTTTGAATTACCACCTAAGAAGCTCTGGACATTATATTAAAAACTGCAAGGCATTGAAGATCAAAATCCAGAATATGATTCATTCAGGGGCATCCTAATGCTAAGCAAGAGAAGTCATTACATCTACCATTTGCATCCAGAGAGATTATTTTGTTTGACTCGTTTTTTTATATGTCTTTAATATTTTCTTAATTTTTTTATCTTAATGATTGAACTTATGATACCTTCTAAGGTTGAGTAAGTTTTAATCATTAGTTCTTTTAATATCAAATGAATTACGGATTCTTTTAATTCTTCAAGAATTATAGATTTTTGAAATATGAAAAGATTAGACCTATTTTATCCAGTTTAAACCAAAATAAAATCTCTCGATTTTTACCCAAAATAATTCATGGTCACCAAAGGACCAAATTTTGACATTCTCTCTCTTTGAGACCATGAAACATTCTTTAAGACCTTGAAACATTGCCTTTATCTTTTTTCGAGACACAAAAAGTCATACCCTTATCTTTCATTGAGCCAATAACTTCACACCATCGTCTTCTTAGACGTCAAACCGACATTTTGTCTACCAATAATACCTAAAGGTATTGAGTATACTGTTCACTTGAACATGAAATTTCTTACAAGAAGAAACAATATGGGGCATCTCGAATCAATCTTCTGAAGACGAGCCTGAGCAATTGAGACATGCTGAGAGCAAGAAGTAGAATAAGAGAATTATTTCAAAATAATTCTATCATGCATTAATTACATTGTTTTCATGTAACTAAAAATTAATCCTGAAAATCTACCCCCCTGGGGATACCTCTTCTGCAAGGACTTCTGTGTATGAGATGATGAATGGCATTCTTGCTTTATCCCTTCACAACATGAGAAAATATATCCCTTGTTTCCCCTTTGAGCCTAAATTATGTTTTCTTGTGATTCAACCCTAACCAATGATCACCCTCCACACTGGGGGCAAGGTGGAGGAAGTCTACTCGCATGAGTGAAGACATCGATTCAGATAATATACCGAAAGTGAACTAAATGCCAAGTGCGAAGATCAAATCAAAAAAAAGAGAAAAACAACAAAGAAAACAAAGAGTAAAGTGAAAAAATAAAAGAAAAATAAACAAAGAGAAAAAGAGAAAAAATCAAAGAAAAAGAACAAAAGAAAAAGCAAAGAACAAAAAGAGGACAAAGAGCACAAACAAAGAGTCTATCGACTCAAATGACGAATCGAGCTTCAAACCGTGAGATTG